CAACCCCGCCTTCCCCCCTCACTTCGCACCGTAGTCCCACACCGGGGAAAAGAAAGGTAGAGCAATGGAAGTAGAGTTTTATTTTAAGTTGTTCCTGTATTAGCCCTACGATCACGGGGTCACTAACAATAATCGCTGTTGTTACACATGTCGAGACGGTATTTTTATTACGCACTAAAGATGTTTCCTTTCAACAGTCATGACACCACTGCAATTACGGGAGTGAGATTATTCCTCACCCAAAACGAGCGGGAATTCTCGCTCACGAATTTCTAGTAGCGACGCTTTGACGTTGCTAATAACCCTGCACTCGACACAAAGGGACGTTTTGTGACGACTACTGTCGGCCGCGGGCCTGTCCCGCAGAGGTAAGGCGGTCGTCTCGTCCCGCAGCCTGCCACTCCCCGCCCGCCTGGCCTGGCTGTGCTTCCGGTCCGACGTCCGGAACCACTTTCTAAACGCCCCTCCCCGCGCCTTCATCCCTTCCGCTCCGCCCGGTGTGCGGAGCGGCCCTCGGAGACGTTGTGTTCTGACCACCTTCATTGCTTGTGTGTCCCTTTTATTCCGTAGGTAGCCATTTTACTTATCGTTCATCGTTAGTAAACGTGTACTTCTCGTTTGCTGCTGCACTTTGCCAGTATGTTAGTTTTAAGCTGTAAAGTTTCCGCAGTCGTCGGCAGAGTGCTGCTATAGTGGAGCTGGCTAGAAGAGGGAGGGAAGGTTGGGTTCTCGGTAAACAGCAAAATGTGCAGCATGTATGTACGCGCGAGAGAGCGGGGCGCGTGCAGCCACTGCAATACATCCTCTCTTCCTACTACTCCTCCAGGTTCTTTCCAGGTTTTTAACGTGTTTCTCTCTTTCTCGTTTTTCAGAGTGGGCTGACGGGGAGGTGAGATTCTCGGCCAGAGCGAAGCAAGCGTGAGCGGTGCGCGGAACGTAAGTCTTGCTCCCTACTGTACTCATACAAACCAACACAAGCGGAGTTTCTTCTTTAATCGTAATTTTTGGAAGGGTATAGAGAATAAGAAATAAAATCTTCCTACCGTTTACAGCACCAGTGCACACGTGATCTGCATGATCCGCCCATGTATAGTATAACTGAATACCGAAGCGCTGGCTGCATCTCTCGTGGCCCGACCAGCACGTGTGCCGCCCAGGTGCGCCCGACCGCGGCCCCTCCAAGGTCAGCTGCTCCGCCCCCAAAACTCCTGGCCCGGCGGCCCTGAATAGTTCCCGAGGGGAGGTGAAGGCTGCTGCTGGAGGCTAGAAGGCCGAACCACCCTTTTCTCTTTCTCTGCTCCCCCCCCCCCCTCTTTCCTCTCTCGCCTCCCCCAATCACTAGACTGGTTGATGCCGCGCCTCATAATTTATTTGATCGCCCGCCCAGGACAATAGCTCGCCTGACTCGCCAACACGGCGGCGGTGCCCGCAGAGAAATATATGTACTGTCGAGCGCGGGAGCAAGATGGGGGGCAACCCGTGGGGTAGGCTATTCCACAAAACACGAAGTGTTGAAAAGTCGAGTAAGTAATCTGCCATTGCGTGACCGTTCATAATGTAAGACACCACAAAAAATTTGGGTCCGATCGGATACGATTTAGGGGTGGTACACAACGTTCAAAATAGTCAAAAATACTCAAAATTTGGCCAAATTATTTTTTTCCCTGACAAAAAAATTCATGAAATAAAAGTTGTTCGAAATGAAATTTTGAGTGTGACTTTATTTTTTCTAAATTTTTGAACTTAATACTTACGAAGGTATGGCCTATATTTCAGGGGCCAAAATCGTTAAAAACGCTTAAGCAAAAGTTTTTTTCAAATTTAGGGGTAGTGTATTGTTTTTAATTTTTATTTCGTAACGGATATGATTACCCACCTACGGGAGGCCCTTCATGATTTTTTTTGGATTTTTCAGACCACACCTGTCTTTTGAAAAATACCTTACAAATCCTGGAAAATCGTGATTTTTGGCAGAATAAATTTGTTGAATTTGAGTCCTAAAAGTCCGAAAAAAATCATGAAGAGCCTCCAGTAGGTGAGTATTTATATCCATCACGAAATAAAAATTAACAACAATATACACCCCCTCAATTTGCAAAAACGTGTTTTTAACGATTTTGGCCCCTGAAATATAGGCAATACTTCCGTTAATATGAAGTTCAAAAATTAACCATAAAATATGGCCATACTCAAAATTTCATTTTGAACAACTTTCATTTTATGGAATTTTTTGTCAGGGAAAAAAATAATTTGGCCAAATTTTGAGTATTTTTGACCATTTTGAACGTTGTGTACCACCCCTAAATCGTATCCGATCGGGCCCAAATTTTTTGTGGTGTCTTACATTATGAACGGTCACGCAATGGCAGATTACTTACTCGACTTTTTAACACTTCGTGTTTTGTGTAATAGCCTACCCGTGGGGGCTGCGCGGGGCCGCCAAACTACACGGTTGTGGTTTTGAAAGCCCCGGCAGCCTGCTGGTGGTGCTGGCCGCAAAGTAGCCGTGGCTCCTTCCTCCAGAGCTGACGTGCCCCCTCGCGCCCCTCACCCTCGCCGACGCCCCCTCCCCCCCCCTCCTTTCGCACATTTACATACATCAATACTGCTCCAGAGCGGCCCCTCTTCTGTCCGGGCACAACAAGTCCCAGCGGCCCCCCTCCTTGGCCGGCCCCGAGTGTGGACTACCTAACAGGCGATTTGCTGACCCTGGGAGCGGCCCCAGGGGGGCGCTACGCTCGTCATGGGGCCACGGGGGGAGAGGGCGAAGGGGGGGGGGGGGCTGATATATTCCCCCGGAGTCTTGCATTCGAGACCGGCGGCCTCGGCCAGCCACTGGAACCGCACGGCGGCGCGTGGCCCAGTAGGGACGCCACCGCAACGGCCTCAGTCCCGGACTCGGGTACCTCATCGTGAAGCAAAAGAGACCTTGCGGGGGAGGCCGTGGTGGTGGTGGTGGGGGACTTGGAGGTAGAAATGCACCTCCCCTCTCAATGTGAACCACACGCCCTGCGCCGCAGAGTACTTTGTGTCCTTCACCATGACGGACGCCGCCCCGCCCTCGTCATCTCTATGGGGGGTGGCTGGCCTGGAGGGCAGGCAGACAGACGGGCAGTGGGGTAGTCCAGGGCAGCAGCTGGTGACCCTCGCTTGCACGAGGGCAGTGGGACAGCCTCCACGTCGAGGTCCGAGGTCGGCCGACAATCGCGCAGCGGCGAATTGGCAGCTTCCCATTCTAAACAGCAGCACAAGGCTACTGCCTACGGCCCGCTGGTTCCTGCACACGGCATTTTAATTGGCGACCTCCACCGCCGCTGCAGCACCCTGCCCCGCCTGGGCCCCGCCGGTAATGCCGCTCTGTTCTTTGCTGGTATATTTTAATGAGGCAGCCGAAATGAAAGTGTCTGGCCCGGCCTCATTTGCATGTCCCATTGATTATTCATGTCTGCCGCCGCCGTGCCCCCGACCTGCCGCACGATCACTTCCTTTTTCTTCCGGAGTGGCGCTGCACTTACATCGCCACCTGTCATCACCCTAACACCACGTGCAGGGCTGATTAAAAAGAGAAAAAAAAGCAATGCAAAAAAACTTTGATCGGACGCAGAGATCAAGAAGAAGTTGACGAGTTAACCGCGGTGGCAAAGGGTGAATGAAAATGAAACCAAAAAAATAAAAATACGTCCTCTCTGTGAAGGGAGGCGCTGGGGTAGTCACAGAGGGCCAGCAGCGTGATCAGCGACAGCCTCCTTCTCTCTCTCTCTCTCTCTCTCTCTCTCTCTCTCTCTCTCTCTCTCTCTCTCTCTCTCTCTCGTTCTTTAAGCCGCCCCGTCCGTCCGGTGGGGCCGGGGAGAGTTCTCGTCACGTCAGAAGCAGCCATAGCTTACTCTAACGAGCTCTCCCTTCCCTTCTCTGCCACCCCACTCTCCCCTTCTCTCCCCCTCTCACCCGCCCCCTTTTCCTCAAACCCACCCGTCTCCCGTAAGGAGTAAAGAGCGCCCTGCCCGCGCCGTAAATTACTGCAACAGATTTTCTCTCTCCCTCTCTCCCTTCCCCGCCGACTCTCCCCGCTCCTCACCGCTCTCTTCCACCTTCACCCCCCACACACATGCTGACGCAGTGTGGGTCTAGGTCGCACCGGCCCGCCGCCCCCCGGCTGTTCCCTCCAGTAGAACCGTTCCGGGTGCGTAAGCCGATTCTGTGGACTCTCCACGGGACTCGCACCGAGCCCTAATGATATGGCGATGTGGGTGCGGTGCGGCAGGCAGGTGGTGATGGTGACGAAGGTAAAGGCATTGGAAGCGGTTTGGTTTCAAACGATCCCCCCACCCCCTTATTCCTCGGTCTTGAAGAACTCAGATTCGCTTCAAGGTGTGATTTTCTCTCGTAAACATAAGTGTACCTTTACTGAAAATGGTCAACCCCCAAACAATGTTCGTGCCGTTTCCTTAACTCTCTGGCTCACGTGGTTCGAGCGCGTGTCCATGCTCGTCATCCTGCTGAACTGCATCACCCTGGGGATGTACCAGCCATGCGTGGACGAGGAGTGCCAAGGCAACCGCTGTCGCATTCTGCAGGTCAGTTGAACCCACTTGAACTCGACTCGCAACCTTATCGATCAGGACCGCTTAAGTGATTTGTTCGTTATGGCTGTGCAGCTGTTCGACGACCTCATCTTCGCCTTCTTCTCCATCGAGATGACCATCAAGATGATCGCGATGGGAACGTACGGCAAAGGCACCTACCTGGCCGACTCGTGGAACAGGCTGGACCTTTTCATCGTGTTGGCCGGGTGAGTCGCGCGGTCGTTGTGCCGCCAACCCCTCACTTCCCCATTCCACCCACACGTTTCACGTTTCACAGCACGCTGACGCCCTCTTTCCTCTTTCAGGGCGCTGGAGTACTGTCTGCAGGTCGAGAACCTCAACCTGACGGCCATCAGGACGATCCGGGTGCTGCGACCGCTCAGAGCCATCAATAGGATACCCAGTGAGTCCCCCATAGCGCCACTTTGACCAGCGCTGAAGTTTTTTTTTCTGGGGCTGAAGCGGGCGTGCTGACAGCAGATACTCGTCCCCCGCCCCCTCTTTCTCCCGTCCTCGCTGGCACCTCCCGAGAGCCCTCTTGTAGTCGCTAATCGAGCGTGTTGCCACGGGCTTACACGGCTGAGCTCGCCTTACAGAGGGGCCGGCGCCCAGTCACACAGACTCGCAGCTAACTGGACGCACCCCTCCAACTGGGCCGCGAGCAGCGTGGCCCCGGCCAAAAGTCTGCCCCCGACAACTACTACGCCGGGCCTCGCCCCGTTATTGCAGCGGGACGGCTGCCAGCCAACTGCACTCCCCTATGCGCTGAACTACACAAACCCATCCATCTCCATTCTGCTTTTGCTCGTTGGATTACACTCTCATTTCAAAAGCAGAGTATGCGGTACGAACCGCATGTGTGGAAACCAGTAATTTGGTTCACTGTAAAAAGCTTGCGAAGAACTGTTCCTTTGCATTGCAAAGAATTTTGAAGCGTTGTAAAATGCTTTGCATTAGCGAACTAAATCCTGCGGATTGCGGACTAGTTCTTCGCACCTTACGAAGAAAATTGTTCGTAACGCTGCAAAGAGCTAGTTCGTAACCTTGCAAACTTTTATTTCGCAACTTACTAAGAAAATAATAGTGTGTTTGTTTCCTTTGCCTTCATGAGTTTGTTTGGTTTGCGCAGGCATGCGCATTCTGGTGATGCTTCTGCTGGACACGTTACCCATGCTGGGAAATGTGCTGCTGCTCTGTTTCTTCGTCTTCTTCATCTTCGGCATCGTGGGCGTGCAGCTGTGGGAGGGCATCCTGCGACAGCGCTGTTACCTGCTGTTGCCAGAAAAAGTGGAATACAATAAGTAAGTCGGACCTCTCTGTTCACTTAATCGCTCGTCTCTCTCCCTCATATATATCTCCTTCTCTCTTTTTATCCCCCCTCTCCTCTGTATCTCTCTCCTTATTCTTTTGTTTCATTTTTCTCTGTTGTTGCGTCGCGCTGTCTTTGTTTCCTAAAATTTATTCATTTTATTCGTCTGCGTATTATGGTAGGTGTAAGCTACTTTTCCTTCAGCGCGGAGCGTTTAGTAAGTCAACTTAACACGCAGTGTGCCATTACATGGAAAGCTAACTAACTCAAATATGCTAAACTGTTTTATTCTTAACTAACAAACGAGTCTGGCAGGCCTCCAATAACTCCCTCCAGGTGTTGTTCCTTTCCTGCTGACGCGTGCTGTCTGTTTCAGGAATCTAGACGAAGAGTTCACGATTCGAGTGAGAGTGACCCTGTAAGCTTTGAGCCGTACCACTGGAATGCTTGATGCTCGTATATATTGGCTCCGCGCTCCCCGCCACACTGGGGCCCCCTGCTTCCCAGGGCGCCTTGCACACTCACTTGTTGACAAAAGCACTCAACTCACGCCAAACAAATTAAATAATA